GAGCATTTTTTATGCGTTTCTATGCAGTGCATTACCGCACATTGACGAGAGGTTGTCTGTGTGTCCTTGTGTCTGTGCATCCGTTGTCTGTGTGTGCGTCTATCACGCACTTTCATCTCAAGACCTATAAAAGCTGCAGGGCTGAAATTTCGGGGACTTAATCTGCATGCACGTGTCAGCCCCAACCCCAAAATGGGCGCCATCACCCGTGTGGTACCCGCGTACGGGCCCGCCAAAGTTTTTTGTGGTAAGTTCATAACTCGGAGATCTGATAAGATAGAACCCGAAATCTTAGAGAGAAGTTCCCCGTCCAAATAGGTGTTAAAGCACTGAAACCTAGCCCCCGAGTAAGCGTGGCACTCGCGCACGGGCCTGCCAAAGTTTTTTTGGGGTAAGTTCATAACTCGGGGATCTGAGAAGCTAAAACGCTGAAATCTTAGAGGATATTCCCTGTCCAAGTAGGTATTAACGAGTTCAAACCCTGCCCGCGGGAAAGCGTGGTACCTACGTCGGGCCCGTGAAAGTTTCTTCCGGGCAAGTTGCTAACTCGAGAAGTGAGAAGCTAGAAAACTGGAATTTTGAGGGGACGTTTCCTGACAGTTCTGGCGGCCAGTCTGAAATTCTTTTAGCTAGAAGCATCTGACAGAAAAACCAGTGCCGTCAGCGACAAAAATCTGCGGGGAGCTATGCAAAAAACGCATCTTCGCACGGGCAGCCCGTGCGTTGGCCAATTGTTTTTTTTTTGTCACAAACGCGGCATCTGTTTCCTTACCAGCATATATGTGTTGCAGTGACCGCATTTGAGCGGCTTTTCACCAGTATGAGTTTGCATGTGTGTTTGTAAGTATTCTTTTCTTCCGAAGTTCGAATTGTAGTGATCACATTTGAACGGATTTTCGCCAGTATCAGTTCGCATGTGTCTTTGCAAGCTTTTTCTCTGGTTGAAACTCGAATTGCAGTGACTGCATTTGACCGGTTTCAGGCCATTATGAGCTCGCATGACATTAAGTGAATCTTCAGCCGTGAAGTAGCAGAAAAGATTTTACCGTAATAACTGCATTATTTCCAGAGTGTTGAAATTTTTAGCTAACATAGATATCCCTACAGAGTTTCAGCCTCTTTTCTTGTCTGGTTCCCGAGATCGCTTTCCCGTCAGGAATCTGCATATTTGTTTAAAGCGTCCGTATGCGGCACCCAGGCATCCGCGGAGGATGATATTAAAACGGAAGAGTGGCGTAGAATGTGCACACATTCCCAAATTTTCATCCTTCTAGCTTTTCTGGTTCTCGAATTGAAAGTGGGTGACAAAAAGTGGTACTCCGGGTGATTTTTAATTTTAAATTAGTTTTAAAAAAAAGTAAAAATTAAGAAATTTTGAATTGGCAAAAAACTATTGAAAAATTAAAATTGGTAAAAATTAGCAAAAATTTAAAAATTAAAAAAAATTTTCAGCTCCGTGGTTGATTATTTTTTCTTAATTTTTTATTTGGCGTGGTAATTTTCATGCGTTTTGTGCTGTGTAACAGCAGCACAAAACGCATATTGTCACGGAGTTGTCTCTGTGTGTGTTTGTCCGCAGCAACTTGTCCGCAACTTTCAACTCGGGAACCACAAAAGCTAGGAAGCTGGAAATTTAGGGTAACGTTTCCCGCAGCAACTTGTCCGCAACTTTCAACTCGGGAACCACAAAAGCTATGAAGCTGAAAATTTAACGCAGCAACTTGTCCGCAACTTTCAACTCGGGAACCACAAAAGCTAGGAAGCTGAAAATTTAAGGGGTGTCCGCAACTTTCAACTCGAGAACCACAAAAGCTAGGAAGCTGAAAATTTAGGGTAATGTTCCCCACCCACGTGTGACTGTCCGCAACTTTCAACTCGGGAACCACAAAAGCTAGGAAGCTGAAAATTTAGGGTAACGTTCCCCACCGCAACTTTCAACTCGGGAACCACAAAAGCTAGGAAGCTGAAAATTTAGAGGAACGTTCCCCACCTACGTGTGACTCCGCAAATTTCAGCTTCCCCGTACCCGCGGGTAAAATGTATGGCCCCGTGAAAGTTTTTTCGGGTAAGTTAATATCTCGGGAACCACGGAGTCTAAGAGGCTGGAATTTTAGGGTATTGACCCCCTGCCCACGCTCAACCTTGCCCATTCAAATTCAGCGTTCCCGTGCTCTCGGGTATCACCTACAGCCACGTGAAAATTTTGGCTCGGGATAAAGATACCCTTCAAGGTTTCGAATTCAGCTTTCATGCGCTGGTGCGTGAAATTTCTAATTGTTTTCTAATTTTTGAACCATTTTTGCACAGACTACAGTAAAAAGCAGTGAAAATCATTAATAGGCAATCGTTCGATGGGCTGAATTGCACAAAACGTATGATCGCACCGGCTAGTCTGGTGCACGTTGCTATTTATTTTACAATTTTTTTTTTTTAAATTTTAGTTATTTAAAAATTTCTCTTACTCACACTACGTTTAATTATCCAGACTTGGTGCTGAAAGAAACAATTTGTAACATTAACATATTACGTCTTGCATGAGCAGAAGAAATGTAATAACTATTAATTTTTCAGCTTACACGTAAAACTCCAAGCTTTTTAATCGATTGAATTTTTTTCCCGAAAATGTGAAATCCCTGCAAAAAACAAATATTTGTAATGCTTCCAGAATAAAATGATTGTTACCATCAAATTTCATACTTTAAAATCTGCCGAGTTTAGCTGCTTCGATTAAAAAGCGGCCATCATGCGCGGGTACTAATGAATTAGCAGGTTCAAGCCTGATAAACTTCCACACGTCTTTGTTTGGGAGTAAATTCGCATTCGAATGCGCTTATGTGAAAGCAATTATTTGCCTGTTCATGCACCTAATTGCGGCACTTATTTCAGCTTCCTTCATCAGCTAAGTAAAATATCGCAACTGGCATCTTTTACAGTTGCTTTTTCTGATGCTGCGCTGCCTTGTGGTCAGCTTTCCAGTAATTCTGACGTTCGTTTTATCTTCTGAAGAGATCACCTGCTCAACTTTTTGCTGACGGAAGCACGTGACAAAGTTTTAGCATTTTTGAGATGCCAGTAATGTCTGTTAAGCATTGAAAATATCGCCTTAAAACGGACAGTGCCACTGCCAGATCCCGATGATTTGCTCTATCGATTATACGAAACAATGCCGGCGTTTCGTAAAATTTGCGTGCTGGTTTTTGTTTAGCTGACATACGGCTGATGAATACTTCTGTTTGCGCTATTTTGACGGTGAACTTTCTGTGCTTCAGTTCAATGTTTTCAGAGCATAAATTTTTCAGCTGGCTATTCCTATGCGCATGTTCATAATGGACATTGATAACGCGCTCTCGCGCTTTTTCCACAAGCTTTTTTTGGATTGGAAGGTTTTGAAAATAGGTCAGTTATATGTTTTTTATGCGTTTTTGCGATGCGGTACTCCTGACCACAACAGTCAGCGGAAGCGCATTTTGTGACAGCTTGTGGTGGGTATTTCTGTGTGTATGTATGTATGCATGTATGTATGTTTGTGTATTATTTTTGTGCGTCTGTCTTAGCATTTCCACTCACAGCCATGCAGACTTAGGTGCTGATGATTTGCCAGTGTGTTCCCAGACATACACATCAAGCATCACATGAGTAGTCTAGGCGACCGTTGATTTTATTTCCTTTCACTCTCTAGGTACGTTGAGGGTCAGTGCATGGTATATATTTCCAGTGTATCAATTTGCTGAGGGTCTTGTGTCAGTAAGAAATGTAGTGGGAAATTGCTCAGCTCTCTTCCAGCCAAAAAAATGTGATCTGTGTTGATCATCTCGTCGGAAAGGCCAGTGCCAAAAATTCTGCCATTTTTGGAAGTTTGTAGCTCAGTTTTTAAAACTCAGTTCTTGCTTCCATTATTTATCTGTGCTTGCGCAGGTGTGCATACGCCAGTCTAGCTGTAAGGCTTGATTCCTGCTAAGCAACATTTTTTCCAAAAGCGCAGAAAGCAGGAGAATCCGGCAAACAAAATGGGCGAAAAAAAGTCAGTGAAAAAATGAATTTTTATGTAGTTTTTGTGCGTTTTTGGACATATACAATTTGCAGAAAAGCATATTGAGAAGAGGTATAACCTATAACCTATT